CAGCAAAAACACCCGGTGGGCCGGATAAATGTTCTCTTGGCGGGCCACATGTGGCCTGTGAGCCATAGTTTGAGGACATCGGCTCTAGACTCTAATGCTAGTGAGCCCACCATAGGTCAAGGGTGTTCTCCAGACTCTTGGAATTACTCCAGGCTTGAAGAAAATGACCCACATAGTTAAGTTGGGTCCAAGTAGCTCTTGAGCACCCCATACCCCTAACCAAACCACTCCAGCTACTGGCCCTTCCCTCACTCACAGTGGACTCCTCCCATGCCATTCCAAAACAACCCTATTAAAGAGGCCTGGTTGACTTTTCTTCTGAAGTCACCACCGGCTCTCAAACCCATCTTGGGACTCAGCCCTGGGTGCAATGGCTCAGCACATCATTTGGTCTGCATTAGCCCACTGGAGCCAACTCCATGAGCAAAGGCCCTTTCTGTCACAGGGAAGTAACAACATGGAACCGTCCAAGATTCAACATTCCAAGCAGGAATGAAGAGCTTTAAGAAGAAGAAAGACAAATGTAGGTAGAGGACCCACTGCATGGGAGAGGGACAGCAGCAAGCAAGGGCCAGGGCAGAGAGATGCCAGGAGAGCCAGGCAGGTGCCTGAGCTCAGGCATGTCAGAGGCCAAGCCCCTGGAGCTCTAGTGAACAAGCCTGACCTCCAGTCCTGTTTGCTCCTTTGTTTTAGACTCTCGGTTGCATGTCAGTGGTATCACTGGGCCTAGAAGTGTTTCATATTAACAGAAAGATGTCACGTGTGGTGAGGGACTCCTGCTCCTGACACAGGCAGATGACTTCGCCCTCCCTAGCCATCCAGTGGCCTCGTTTCTCCCAAGTTGAGAAAATGATAGGCATGTCTCATTTACCAAGACACACTTCGAAATTCCCCCCAGCACCTGAGAGAGGAGAGAGAGAATGATGACAACCATTCTCAACATATTTCAACTGACAAAGTCACATAATTAAATTTTGATTGGAAAGGGCCTGAAGAAACAAACAAAAAAATGTCTAAGCTTATTGCCTAGTTCATTCTTTCCTCCAATAATTCAAATGGGCTTTGAAAGCAGGCGTGATCTCAGACATTGTGCTGTTCCTGTAACATGCAGACCGCTGATGACCCTGCCCGAGGCTGGTGGCAGTGGCGGTGTGGCCGAGATGTCGCTGCTGTGTCTGTGCATGTGTGTGAGTGTGCATATATGTGACCCTCGCAGCATACAAATAAGATGGTTGAGTTGGAGATGTAGTGAGTAAACTCCAAGAATAGCAGGGACACTGTTAACCCCAGAAAAAAAAATGATTTGGAATTTAAATAGCAAGTGTTCAGAAGCGATAGGCAAAATAAACCTGGAAGACCGTTTGCGATACAGATGGGATCTGATGCTCTCTGAGCAGGGAGAAGTGCTGTCAGTATTTTGACAGACACGGAATGACTGTTTAGACTGATGTTCCGGGGACAGAGCCAAGGAGGGGCTGCTTGGCGGGGCTTGGCGGCGGGGAGGGGAGCGGAGGGGGCTGGAGACCTCCGTGACAGATTGACAAGCCTGCTCAGGAATTCTTTCCGGAGTGGAGGGAGGGAGAGAGGTGAAGTGAAGATAAAGGCACAGCAAGACAGGGACAGGGACACAGGGACGCTGGTGCCGGGGGAGGTGAGAAGTGCAGGGTTGCATTTACTGGGTCTACCTCTTCAGGGATTGTTCCAAGAGGAAAAGGCAGGGGCCAAAAGCCAGACCACGGGGGGCTAAGCACCACTTCGCAGCACTTTCTCTTCAAAGTTGGTGGCGCCTCAGGCTTGCTTACTGCTCCATGAAGGGAAACTGCAATGGCAGTGCCTCCCCGGTGGGCTGAGGGTCAGAGAGCAGAGCTCAGCCAGAGGCAACCACACAGAAAGAGAGTGTCCTTCTTTCAGGACCTGCAGAAATGTCACCCAGAAGGGGAACTAGAGCCTGGAGGAGTATCTAAGCACTGCAAACTGCGCGCCGCCGCGAGGCCAGACACCCCAGTGAGGTGTCGAAATATCACTCCGCAGTTCCGTGTCCTCAACCTACCTACCGACACCAACTGTCCGCTGCCCCTCCCAGCTGCTCATGGCACCTCAAAACCCTGTATGCCCCGGAAACTGGGCTGCCTGTCCCCCTCTCTGATCCCACCTGTCTGCACGGCAGCCTCCTGGGGTGGCCGTGGGGTCCTTGTTCTGACTCCTGCAGTGCAGGTGGCGCAGGGCTGTGGCTGCTATGCCACCGAGATCAGGAAGGCTCCTTTCCCATCTCACCTCTGCCTCTCCTTAGCCATGTGCTCCTGAACAGAGTATTCACTCTCTTGGGGCCTCAGTTTCCTGTTTTGAGGAGTAAAAGTTATGAATAGCATGAAGCATGAATAACAGGCTTGTCCATTCTAGACCAGTGGTTCCTAACCAGCAGACATTTGGCAATGTCCAGAGACATTTTTTGCCATGATAACTGCAGAGCTAGGGGGTGTATTCTGGCATCTAGTGAGCAGAGATGCCACTAAATATCCTAAAAGCACACAACAGCGCCCCCACCCCAACAAGAAAGAATTATCTAGCCCCAAATGTGCATAGTGCTGAAGTTACTTATGAAATGTCTTCTGCAGAGTGCATTCTTTATCAAAATCAGCTTCTATTGTCACGGGCTGCTTTATATTTTTTATGTATGTGATTTTTGGATGCTCCTTGAGGGGAGGCAGAGGTTGTGCCTAAAATGTCTTTGTTTTTTTTTTTCATTCAGAGTTTTGCACAGTGAAAAGATTCAAGAGTCACCACCTCGTAGTAAAAGGAATCACAGAAGAGACTTTGACTGCCTTGGCAAAGGGTTAATCTGTTTTTGTACCCTGTTCAAGGACTGAGATGGAAGTAAACCACACATTGTGCTTTCCCATTCCACCCTTCAAAACACCAGTAGTAGAAGACCCCACTAAAACCACATCCAGATCACTTGAAAACAGTTCAAAAGAGAAACATGCAACCAAGTCACTGCTTTCCAACAGGTTGACAACAAAAGAACGGCTGTTTGACTAAATTCGTCCCTTTTTACTGTAAGCCATCACAGTGATACATGAGGAAGGCCTGGCCAGTGGGAAGAAACTTCATGTTTGCACATAAATCCATCAGAAATATTTCGAGAGACCTATTTTTGCTGAAAAATATTGTAGGTAAGTTTCAAGGTCTTCCTATAGTCCTTCATAATCATCCTAAAATATCTCAGACAACCTGTTACTGCAGTTGTTGCATTCTATTTTGTCAGTTAATGCCCAGCATGGACCCTGGCCCACTGGATGGTCAGTAGGTTTTTGCCAAGGAAGAGACAAACCCTCCCCCTGGCCTACAGAACTGACCAGAACCGGGCTCTGGGCCAGTGTGTCCAGGCGGATCTCAGCTCCACTATCCACCTGAATATGGCCTCACTCAGGTGACCCATGATCTCTATATGTTCCTGTTTCCTATCTATGAAGTGGGTGTGCACGTTGCCTGTCTTTGGGGACTGACTGTTGTGAGATAATACGCACACAGTGTTTCACATCACACCTCGCACACGGTGACTGTGTGGTGTGGAGCCTCAGTCAGCAACCATGCTGTTTGAAGAGCAAGCTGCAGAATGATCTCCCTTTGAGTTTCAGTAGGAAAATAATAATTGATGATACAGTTGACCCTTGAACAACATAGGTTTGATCTGCATGGGTCCACTTATACACAAATTTTTTAGCAACCAAATGCCAATTGAAAATACAACAATTTTATGAGATGCATAACCCACGCATAAGGAGGGCTGAGTTTTCAAATATGCAGGTTCTGAGGGATGGACTACAGGACTAGAGTATGTGTGGATTTTGGTATACGTGGAGGAGTCCTGAAACCAATTTCTGACTATGCCCAGGGAAGGCAGTATTGGTACAGCACTTCATAAACTGTGTCCTCTGACCCATCACAGTGACCCTGTGAGCAGGTGAATCAATGTTACTATTTCCTGCCCGAGTCAGGTGCTCAGCACGGGTCAGAGTCCGAATTTCTGCTTGTGATGCTCTAACACAGTAGTTCTTAACCTGGGCAATGCTGTCTCCTGCAGGGGATATTTGATCACGTTTGGAGACAACTGGTGAGTGCTGTTGGCATCTAGTCACCAGAGCCAAGGATTGTGCTGATCATCATACAATGCACAGGACTGGATCCCACAACAAAAAATTATCCATCTCCAAGTGGCACGAGTGCCGAGATTGAAAAACCCTGTCATAACAGGAAATCTCATATTTTTCCCACCAAAACACATGAATGAGATACTGAATAAATATCAGAAAACCCCCCACTCTACAAGGAAGTCATTGATTCATCTCAAGGATTGTGTGTTCCAATGGGAAGCTCCTGGAAAAAGCCCTTTGTCAATTACCATATGTTCACTAAAGCACAGAGTCACAATAGTTATTCCATAATTTAGGGGTGTTTGGGGAACGCCCTAACCATATGAGTTTGACCTCATAGATAAAGTCCTTCTGATGTGAAAAATTGTACTGAGCCAGTTTGGCATGAAGGAGGAGGTGGAATGAGACTAGGTCATATTTATTGGGAGAAATCCACAATGCAAGACTGTTCATATAAATATTAAATATGTTCAGAAGGTGGGAAAAAGGACACTCCTTTAGAATACAGGCACACATTTTTGTGTGCCTCTTATATATCATATCTTGTGTTATATATATTTTCCTACTTATATTCCCAATAACCACATTAGGTAGGAACTGAACCTGAGAAAAACTAAGTATGTATTTTTCAGATTTTTAAACAAATATAATTTTCACATTTTAACATTCTGAAACAGATATGCATCTTAAAGTTGATAACATCTTGTAATGTGCTGGTCTTTTTTCTTTTCTATGTTAATATTTCTATATTAAGGATGCATCTAAGGATGTTTGGATTCTTAAATTCATAAAATACAGTCACTTGTGCAAGGGCATACAGCTAATACAGGGCAGAGCTGGACATCATAACATGTGATGTGTTATTTATTTCTAATCCAGCAAGGAAATTCAAGTGGTAGGTGTCAATCTTCTGAGAAAGCCGCTAGGGAGTATTTCTTCCTGAGATGACTGGATGGCTTCAGTGAGAGGCTAAGGAAAAATGGTTCATTTAGGTTATTCTATGTTTTTAGGGAAGTTTTAAACTAATGGGAAAGAAGAAAGAAGATAAGGCCCAAAGGTCCACGATTGCAATTGTTAACATCAACCATGAGAGATTGGACTTAAGTCTACCAGAGAAGCCAAACTACTGAAACAAAGTTATATCACTGGGTGAAGCAGCCAGGGAGAGAGTGGAAAGTCAGGTGTGGACATTGACCTTCATGCTGTTGCTCGTCCTGGGCACTGGTACAGTGATTCAGCCTTGCGTGGGAGCCTGCAGATCAGTAAAATAAAAGTTAACTGAGGAGTGCTTGATGACAGCTGAGTTATTCCAGTAGCACCAATTTGTGCTTAGGAAAAATATTTTAAACTTGTTGCCAATAGTATTCTAATGCAATGTTAACTTAGGTAGGTAATGACTAATGCATACTTAAAAAAAAGAAATCACATGCTGGATTGCACTTTCTCTATCAGACACCATTTGTGTTCCTGCGCATGCCATGCTCTCTCATGTCTGAGTGCTGTTACCTGGCATGTTTATCCTGCCTCACTTGCTCCCCACCTCTTTGTCTACCTGGGAAACTGTTCAACCTTTACTTCTCAAAGCTGATGTCCTAAAAGCCTTTCTTGATTTTCTCAGATTTCAGAGACTCTTCTATGCTCCCTTTTGCACTTTGTGCATACTTCTGTTACATAATAACTGGGTAACTACATTGAAAATTTTGTATTTCTGTTGGGTCCTTATCAGCACAGCACCTGATCCATATGTGATAGTGAAATTCATGAAGGGATGAATAAATGAAATACACTCACTATGAAATATCTCCTTACCACGACCTACAAGGCTTTGGATGATCTGCCCCAGCTGACTCACAGACCACATTTACCAATACTCTGTGCCTCACACACTTCCTTCAAACCCACTGTCTACAAACAACAGGCCTCAGAACCTTTGCACTTGCTGTTACAACTGTCTGGAGTGCTCTTCCCTCAGATATCTGCCAACACTCATTCCCTCTCTTGACTTAGATCACTGCTCAAATGTCATCTTCACAAAAAGGTATTTCCCGACCATATCATCAGAAACAGCACCTTTCTTCTTTATTCTGTTTTTAACTTACTTTATTTTTCTTTTTAGCACTTACCAAGAACCCATATATTTTGCATTTATTTATTTTTAAAAGTTTTATCTATTTCTCCCACTGAAATGCGAGCTTAATGAAGACAGGGATTCTTATCTCCAAATAAATAAGTAATCACTCCATTAGTAAAAAATAAATGTATGCATTTATTACTGTCTTTAATGAGACTAATTCACTTGTTGGTAGAGAACAAAATGGGCAGAACTTCAGACATAGTATCTCTAGTGGAAGTCACTTTTTTGGAGCACCTTAAATAGCCATGCATCATTTTCAGTTCTTTACATATATTATCTCATGTATTGCTCACAATAGCACTAGCATATAGGTACCATCACTCCCAATTTAAAAAGAAGAAACCATTGTAGTTCTTCCAAATCACGTGCACTTTTCTTTTATACCCTGCTATCTTTACACCATCTCATTGTTGCAGGACATAAAGGAGCAGTGTGTAAAGTAAATGAAGGTCAGAGGACTGGCTTGCAAATCTATTCTATCACCTTTATTCAACAATTCATCCAGCACTTGTTGAGTTTATTAAACATATATGTGTTTCCATTATGAGAATTGCATACAAGCGTTTGTCTTATAGTAAAAATTGAGCAAATCTGACTCTTCTTGACTATTTTCAAAGTAGTGGACATATATTTTTAAAAAACTAGGAGAAAATATAGAAGCATTTGTTTCTTCTTCCTATTCTTTACATATACTTTTTCATCATCACTCCATTTTATCCAACAATAAAGTGACTACTAATGTGAAACTACCACATATTCTTTGAAACATGAAAAATAGTGCTTTCCACGTCTCTACTGCAAAACACTCCCTTCCAAGCCCTAGGTTCTATAATGTTTTGGTTTAGATAGTATTGATGATCATAAAATGAAAAAAAAAAAATAGATCTTAACTAAGGAGAGATCTTAAGAAAGAATCCAGTTAATGTACCTCTACAGCTTTTCCCTGGAAGAGGCCTTCAAATACATTTATCAAACAGAGTTAATTCTGGAAAAAACCGTTCTTGGAATTGCTTTGCTTGAGAAATGCGCATCAAGAATGACATTCTCAAGGGAGCCTGGGATATGTTCAATAAGGAGCAAATGATGTTCAAGAGGACAAATGAATTGAGTTATCAAGGAAGTCATAGAGAATTAAGTGAACCAGACTCCCTTGGGCAAGGCCTAAAATATCACTCAGAAGTAATCATAAATTTGGATCTGAGGACATTGCTCTAACTCACTCTTGGATTCTGGTAGCCCCAACACAGACATCTGTTGACTGGCAGCGTTCTGTCCTGAAAAAAATGTTAATTTGCTAGGTCATAGATTTCCTACTTTATGAGTGCCTTAAGGAACAAAGACAGCTCAACAAAATGTTGCATCCACATTTGTGGAGAAATCAGACATTTGGAAAACCTGGACCCTGTGAAAGCTCATAGTACAACTATAGGGAAAGATAAAAGCAGACCTATAGCTGGGTTTCACCCTTGGCAAACAATAGTCAAGATGTTATTTAACCCCACAGACTTCCAGAAATAAAAGAGAAGAGAAAAAAGAACTTCAGCTTAGTGCATTGTTTAGATTCTGCTATTTAAGCAAGTAGCAGACTAAAGTTTTCTTTTTCAGCCGGATGTTTAGCCTCGTTAACAAGAACAACACACATCTTGCCTAAATGGACCCAGGAAAGGTCAACATTAGTGAAAGAAAGACTAGCCAAGTCACAGATGATCAGTTGACTCTGGCCTCCCCACCCAATGCACTACACAGAAGAGTTGTGGGTGTCACTTTTGGTGAAGTTTGGTTGTGCATCACCAACACAAGAGATTCCTTGCAAGCCCATTATCACATAAATGGAATTCAAAGATATGAGGGAGTAGTGGTGTATTGAATTACATTTTTTATGCACCTAATTCTCATTAGTCCTGTCTTGGAATAACAAATACAATTTATTAAACATTAAATGTAACATAAAGTGTACAGCATAATGGAATCTTACTCTGTAATTGATTTAAATCCTCTTCACTCTTTGATGCCATTTTACAGGTGCTCACATTGAGTGCAGTGAAGAAAAGTGTCTTGTAAATGTCACAGTTAAGCTTTAATTTCCAAAAGAGAAGAGAATTTTGTTTCACACAAAGCACAATCTCTCCTAACAAACTGAACCCGGTTTGTTTTCTGACTTGGCCTACATCTCACCTTCTAGTTCCTGGTATGCTTTCTTTATAGACTATTGGATTTTCTTTGCAGACCTAGTTACTCTGTTCACCTGTTTGTGTTTCCCCCTTCTCCTCTTGGCCAACCCTTATCACAAATACACATACATTATCAGGGGAAAAGTTGAGTCTAGAGTATAGTAGTATTTGATGATTTTTTGCACACCACTTGTTTCCTCTTCATCTGGTAGGGAAAATTCATTTCTCCTGGGAAATATTTCCCCTGCCCATTTAAGTCTCTGTGGTTTGAGTGTCATCTTGATTTTAGCTCCAATTCCAAGGACAGGAAGACAACTCAATCTTGATCAATCATGGAGTTTCATTGCCCTGGCTACAGTGATTGGCTCAGGGATGAGAATTTGACCCAATCAAAGCCAATGAGGCAGTTACGAGACTTTTGGGACTTCTTGAGAGAATTGTTCTCTCTTTACTGCTGAACTTACAGTTACTAGGATGTACTCCTGGAAGAGCTGGATGATCGTTTCACTTCTGCAATGAATGGAGCCACTGAAAATGAAATCAATACACAGCAAAGTAGAGTGGAGGGATGGAGAAAAACCCATTTGAATGATAATGTTACAACTCTTTGGTCCATCTGAGCTTGAAACCCTTAGACATTTCAGTTACATGAATGAAAAAAAAAACACACTTTTGTTTATGCAACTGTGTAACTCTTGATGGATACTGTAGTGTAGAGTTTACCTAATGACTAGGCTCCCTAGAAGGGATTTTGTTTCTGGCTCAGGTAGCTTTTTACCATTGCAAGTTTTGCTGATCCTTTTAAAGTCACTTTTCTGGCTGTTGCATGTTTTTGCATAATGTCATGAATTATAGTTAACCACCAGCCTATATTTCCATTTATGCAGAGAATTTCCTGATTTTTCTAGGATCTAGGCTAGAATGGTCTTTCTAGCTCCAATCTCCTCCCAGGGCAAGAGGGAAAAACAACCATTGCTAGAGAGAATGGAAACTAGACTACCCCAGTCACTAAGACGTCTACAAAACAGAGGGCATTTCCCTTGGGGAAGTGCTGACAAGAACTACTTGCTCCGACAAGAATTACTTTTCCCTTTGCTCTTGTAACTTAGTTAGGCCCTGCAAATGCAGCTTGGTTTTCAAAGCGGAGGCATCACCAACGTTCTTTACCTGGAAGTAGGAGCCATCATTTGAGCTGCAGGGTAAGCAAGTGCGTGAGAAGCAGAGAGGGGAAATTGCTACAAAATCGTTTTATCTTTCCCACACACAAAGGAAGGCATTTTTCTGCTATAAATTAATTACTGCTATCTCTGCTGAAAGCTAAATTTCCATCAATAAGGCTTAAAATCAATAAGGCTTTCTCACCTTTTAAGAGTATTTTTGCATTTACTGGTTTTGTTGAGTGAAGCCCGATGTGTAGTTATGAACTTAGCCTGGGCTAGAGTCCAGTAACTCCATCTTTTCATCTATTGCATTACATCACTAGCTAATTATTACCTGAATCTGATTTCTCTTCATAAGCTGTGGACTTGTCCACCCATTAGGACCTCACAGAAAGATCTAAGGATGGATAAGACATGGACCAAACATATATCAATTTCAGTTCTTAGTGATAGTGGCTGGTGACATAGTTGTTATGATAAAGATCCAATGAGCATGTCTTTTCTGCCTACACTCACAGCTTATTGGAGGAAATAAGCACATCTGGATTCTGGTCCAAGTTTTGCTACTAGCTGTCCAACTAACCTAGAATGAATCAGTTAGCCTCTCAGACTCAGTGCTTAGTCTATGAAATAAAGTTATTGAACCAAATGACTTATAGTTTTGTGGATCTTAACTGAGTAGCATCCATGCAGCATGAGGAGGGGGTCAGGACAGATCTCAACAAAATTGTGAAGACAGCAAAAGGTGTCTTCTCCACATTCTACCTCTTTCCTTCTTTCCTATCTTGGTTGAGTTTTCCCAAAAGGAGACTTTAAGTCAAGGAGTATAATTTATTTGGGCAGTGGAGCAGCGGCAGGACCAGTAGGAAAGTGGGGAAGGTGATGAGAAGGGAAGGAAGCATGCAACCAGAGTGCATCCGTGAGTAGGTCCCTGCGAAGGGCAAGTGAGGTCCAACACAGCGGGGGACCAGTGGAAGATCATGTGGATCATGCCTCAGGCTGTTGCACCAAGAGACAAGGATGCTCCATCCTTCAACCCCCTGCATCACCAGTCGCAGTTACTGTGGGCACTAACCCCCAGCATTCAGGCAGAGTCTCAGGGACTTGCAAAGGAGGTTGTCAGCCTGTATGGGGGACGGTCAGGCTGGGGGATGTGGCACTGATGCCATCAACCACACTTCCCATCTGTCAATGCCTGCCCTCTGCTTCTCATCCTGAATAGCAGGATTTGTAGAATGTCCTCACTAATGTAAGATAGCAGCTAAAACCTCACTGTGTTTTTCTACATGCCATATCTCTTTTTAAAACTAAATCTCATACTAGAAAAATGGCCTTTAGGCATCAGCCACAAACTAATGAGAAGAGCCTTTCCAGCACATCTGAACTCCTACCGAGGCACTCTGCTTTTGGGTGAGAAGGGTGCTAGTAATGGAAATGAAAGAGAGGACCCTGGGGAATGAGGTCTGGGTCATTTTCAACGTTCTGTCTTGATGTGGCAGTATATAAAGCCTGGCTCGTTCAGGTCTCTTTGGGAAGCAGGAATCATCTTCAGGGTTTTCCTCCTTCTGTCAGTGATCATTACTAGTGACCCAAGCCTTCTCCCATCCCATTTTGTACACACACCCCTCAACAGCATAAACAGAGACAAAGTGATGCTGCAAATCCCCCACCCCCAGACCAGACCTCCCCTTGATGCCTCCTTTGGTCCTTCTACATTTGCTTCTCTAACATGATGGGAGACAGGCCTTTCCAGTTGCTCTCGTGGTCCATACTTGACTGTCCAGCCTGACCCATAGTGGTTCCCAGCTCTCTACCCATGTCCATCCAATCAGGGGAAATGCCAGGGGTCTGGACCTGTTACCCCTTCTCACTGCCCTTGGGGCTGGGCCATACCTGCTCACAACTGCATGTATGTATTATGTGCTTCCAGATATGTTATGTGCCACACATTTAGACTTCTGCTAATCACATTGCTATCGCAAAGAGACAGAGGACAAAGGAGAAAAAAAAAACAATTGGGAGCATTAATTTTCACTCCACATAAGACAAAATCTTCTGTCATTTTCAGTCCAGCTGTTTATGAAGCAATGAACTCAAGGCAATTGCACAGATCATAGTGTACCATTTATTTATCATGTATTAGAGATTGCTTTTGATCTCTTTTATACTATATTTCATTATTATTATTAGTGCTTAGCATTTCTATTTAACTTTTACATGGACGTTTAACTACTTGTGGCTTCTTTTCTACTCCTCCTACACTTTGAGGAAAAGACATATTTGTATTCCCCAGATCCTGGCATAGAGCTTAGACAGATATTTGTATTAAATAAACACATAGTTTATCAATACATATTTATTGAGCAGTTGGTGTTTGCTTCCAGTTTATTCTAGTTACTGTGGGATTTGTAGAATAAAATTTTATGATATTTTGCCTTCCCTGGAGATTACATTTTGGGGGGAAGGGAGATGAGATAAGATTAATGAGCGTAAAACAAATAGAGATGAATGCAAGACATTTCACAGACAAGTGCTACGTTGTGGGCAATGGGCTATGTTTGCTATAGAGACATAAAAACAAACAAAAGTCTGAGAAAATAAAATTCTTACAGTCACGGGCTTGAGATGGAAGAACACAAAACAGTCATCTTTCAGTCCATGCCAAACTGTTCCCTACAATTGATCTCTTTAGAATTCTGTTTAGTCTCGTCTTGGAATGCTGCTCAGGATCCGGTTTCCATTTGGGAAACACCTTTGCAACCTCAGTGTTCTCAGTCTCAGGAAGTTTGGTTTCTTTCCTTTACATTTCCCCTAACAATGCTGATCATATTCTTGTACAGGAATGTCCTTCACATTAAATAAATGGTAAGCAAGCATGTGATTCACAAGGCCCCAGGGTACTTTAGAAACAGCAGGTATGCTATTCTTGGACACCAGAACATTTTTATTTCATGGTTGTATCTTAATGCCTAGCACTGGCATGTAGCAGGTGTTTAATAAGGATTGCATTATTGATCATGATCAGCATTCAATAATATTTGCCTATGGATGTCTAGACTAGCTCACACTCTTGAAAGTGCCCCAGTTCTCCCAACAGTGGCTGCCGTGAGTCTGAAAGGGATGGGAGCACAGTGAAATGGAGCACGATATCTTCATGATGCTGGGCCAGGAAGACTAGAGTGAGGATAACCAGAAGAGCCATACCTCCAAAAACGTTGCGGGGTTATCAAATGAGGCAGTAGAGGATGGAGGCTAAAGTTCTGGACTGGAAAGCAAAGTCGGGTTCTCAGCTCTGTCTCCTGCCTGAGGAGGATCAATTCTCAGTAGATCCTGTATAACATATCCACCTTCCTCATGTTTGAAAAAATGATCCTACAAGACAGGCCAATGTCTGTATGTGTTGTCAGAATTTTTTGAATTGGATAGCTGGAATATTTGGCAGAACGCTAAATACTAAATGTTCCCAAACAAGTTGTCCATGAAGAGGACACAATTACTAGTACAACTGGAGAATCTCCCAGTGCCCATAAAAGCATCCACATTAATGTACACACTGCCTGTTACCCTTCAAATCTGTGTCGTGTTTGAGGAGACCTGGTCGCTGCCCTGACTCCATTCTCTTATTAACTCACAAGGCAATGTCCTCACATGTTATAAAAAAACACAGGATGTTGGACTGGTATTTGTTTGATCATACACTGCACTCCTTACCCCTGACCCGTAGCAAGAAATACTCAAATCACT